ATCGGACACTTTATCTTCATAATTAAGGACAAATATTCACAAACGAAGAATTATCAATTTAAGCGCATCTTCAACCGCATCTTAATTTCAATTAATTATTAACCATTTAGGAAGCAATTCTCGCTAATAATCGTTTATTAAATCGTAGTACGGAAATTAAAATTAAAGGTTCCTTTGTGATCGCAAAGTGGCTCTTTAAAAATCATCTGCGGGACAAAGCGCGATAACGATAAAAATCGAAAGGTCATAATAATTCGATCAATGGCTCTCTTTACATGAACAAAGTTACGCGAATTATATTTCAGTCGGCGTGCTCGATGCATTTGAAGCGTAATTACAGAATCGCGTCGTTAACGGATCGTCGGGAATTCGAGCGTAAAATTGAAAGGATTAAATTTCGCAGCCATTACCGGGAGGGGTAAGCCAGAAGAAAATGTATTTCTCGCGAAAGGGCTTGGAAGGTTAAGTTGTACCGCGACGAAAAGTATTACGTGGCATCGTTCTTCTGAGAAAATATCCGAATAGTTCCATTCGCGCGAAAGTTATTCGCTTGTTTCTTCGAAGGACAGTTATCCCCGACGACGTATATCGTCGAGAAACTTATTCGATTCCCCCTCGTTGACGTCCTATCTCTATTTCTTCGTTTTTCCGTTACGTTTGAGAGATGAAGTTATTTCTCATTGTTGTCAGGCAACTGGCACCCAACGCGTCTCGTGTCTGGTTCCATCTCTATTCCAAATTTCTTACAATTCGAACAGCAATACATTCCTATCCTAAATTCAATTATATGAAATAAATAGACTGAGTTTTTGATTCATTCGGATCACCTTGGATACCTTACAGAAAAATGGGAAAGTTTCCCTTTTAAATTGAATGTTTCACTGAATTTTGGTGTACATTCATTATTTCATAATGTTGTACGATAAATATAAAGTTACATGGTCATGAAGTTTCAAAATTATGTAGACCTTAGGTTATAAAATGGCAACGCATAAGATTACAAGATTATGTAATTACAAAATTGTATAATATTAAGGTTATAATATGACAAGGATATAAAATTGAATGATTATAAAATTGCAAAATTATGAATTCGCAAGAATATAAATACGACTTCAAACGATTTCAAGGTTATAAGACCATATGACTATAAAACAGCAAGATTATGAAATTTTAAGACCATGAAATAACAATAACATAAAATTAAAATTTAATAAAACTATAAAATTGTAAAATTATGTTATAAAATTACCACATCATACAATCACAAAATTATAAGCTGTAAGATTTTAAAATATCAAGATTATAATATTATAAAATTATAAAATGTCAAATTCATAAAATATCCACATCATTCAATTACAAGATTACAAATACAAGATTATAAAATAATATCATAAAATTACATGCTTATAAGGCTATAAAATATCAAGATCACAGAATTATTACATCGTACAAGTGCAAAATTATAAAGGTGTAAGATTTTAAAATATCAAGATTATGATATTATGAAATTATAAAATGTCAAGATCATAAAATATCCACATCATTCAATTACAAAATTACGTAAATACAAGATTATAATTCTAAGATTATACAATAACAATATCATAAAATTACATGCTTATAAGGTGTTAAAATATCAAGATCATAAAATTATCACATCATATAATTGCAAAATTATAAAAATGTAAGATTATAAAATGTCAAGTTTATAAAACTATCGCATCATAAAATTACAAAATTATAAAATCACTAGATTAGAAAATTAAAAGGATACAAAATGATAAAATCGTAAAATTATAAAATCATAATATTAAAAAATTGCGAACAAACTTCCTGATACCGATAACCTAACATTCGTCCAAAAGTAGTCTAACCTCGAAAATATAGAATCCAAAAAAAATATTGCTTCTCTGTAATAATATCATAACTACAATTCGAATGTTAAGAAGAATTAGCAATTGCAACTGAACTAGTAGAATGTAAAAATAAGAATATCCGACATAGAAGTTTATAAAGTCGTACATACTAGAACATAAAAGTAACAGTATGTTAAGCAACGAAAACATGGCGACTGTTTACCATTATACAAATCTTAAAGATTGAAGATAATCTCCGCCCCAAAGATTCTAGCGCAGTTATGTACGAGTTAAAGCTACAACCTTTCGTACCGATCGTAGATAACAACATTGAAACCTCAACGAATCTGTTCGATCGTAAACTCCGATTTCTTCCGCGATCACAGAAGTATTTCCTTATCTTCACCATAGTCCGGTTGTGTTATGGCCTCGTAACTCCTAGACGCTTTTAAAGCATCCTCGAGAGGTGGCCAGCGATAACAGTCGTTTCTAAACCGCAAATAACATCCGTCGAATCGATTTTAATGGCCACATGAACGTCCATTCGGTGTACAAATGCGATGTCACGAGGGAAACTCCCCAAGTGTTACGCTCGCTTATTTATGAAACTTTAGCACTTCACAGAAAACAAGTAACTGAACATTTGTATCCCTTACTCTGGGGCAGACGGTTAATTCTTTGAAAGACATTTGTTACAAGAGAACCAAAAGTGGAATTTAAATAGAAGTTCTATCAGTGTCATGAATCTTAAAGGCTAAAAATATAAAAGGTTAGACGAACCTATTTATTTGTAATTATTTGTAGAGTTATTGATTGCAAAAGGTTGAAGTCGGCTAAGTAGCATATAGATAATACAAAAATTCAGACAACTATAACAAGACTAACTTACTGTAATGTAGTCAAGTATTTAAATGAAGAGAAATTGTATACAAAATCCTCTTCAGCTCGCGAGAAAAAGCAAGGATGTTGAGGAATTCTCATATGAGTAAGGCGTATTGAAAAATGGGGAAGTTTAATTTTAAAATATTAAACGACAAGAAAACTTCTCCAATATCTCAAAATTAAGGGGTAGCCAGGTTCCGATCATAATTATAATAACCGGTCCGTTGCCCGGCGCCTTGGACAAGATCGATAGAGGAGGGAAAGAGGATGATGAACTTCAGCTCGTGGAAAATTCGTTCGTTTATCCGTGATGCTTTATGGGCCGTTAAAGGTGCAGCTAATATAAGCTATAAGTTCCATGGGGAAGATTATCTTCGACGATCAGGATCTCTCGTTTCGTGCTGGTTTCCGTCGGAAGACGGTCTAATCAAATCAATGAAAAGCCCCCGATGATTACGCCGCTACGAGTGCGGAATCGCACAGACAGGTTTCACTATTTGAACAGGCTCCATTTAACTGCAGGATCGTGTTTGACGATCGTAGTTCAACACGAACGTCTGTACATCGTTAGAGCACAGGAACTAAATTTCTAGAGCACTTTTAGTCAAGGATTAATGTCTTCAGACGTTTATGACACAAAACTGGCGTTCATTGATCATTGAAATGCAGGATCAGTTAGCTTCTTGAGTATCCGTAGCTTGAGATGAAGGTTTATGGACATCTGCGTTCTATAGACGTTTATAACGTAAAGCTGACGTTTATAGCGCAAAATTGACGTTCATAGGTAGTTTCACTAGAGGATAAGTTAATTTCTAAGGTATCTATAGTATGGGGTGAGGATTTATAGACATCTATAGCATATAAGGGAGTCGACAAACTATTAAGCTAAAGGTATGGACGTTAATTCTACGATATAGGTGGTTATGAATGCCAACACTGTGCTGCTTTGTCATTTGTACTATAGATGACTATAGCAGCTATAACAGGCTCTAGACAATTATAGACGATATTATAAGGCTAACTTTGTGCCATAGACACTTACGGCAACTTTACATTATAATTTATATATGCTAACTTCGCGTTATAGACATTTATATATGCTAATTTTGCGTTATAGACGTTTATATACACTAACTTCGCGTTGTAGACATTTATAGCAACTAACTTTGCATTGTAGACATTTATAGATGCTAACTTTTCATTACTGAGTTGTTAATAAGTGAACATCTATAAACATCTATAAATACATCTATTTGTATACAGATTTGTATTCGATTTCTATACAGAATCTGTGCTATAGATTTCTATACAGAATCTGTGCTATATGTGATTATAGGCATCTATAGTGAACAGGCAGCTATAGCTATACAAACTGCAAAATTAACGTCTACAGATATTTAACACACATAACAGATAATACAGGATCACTACCTATGGGTATTGATATTTTAGAGTTAGTATCTATAAGAGATCCTAAACAATTATTATGAAGGACTATAGTATCAATAGCGCAGTGTTAATGCATACAATCGTCGATAGCGCAGAATTAGTACATATTGATGACAATAGCGCAGAATTAAATACCTATAGTTGATAATGCAGAGCATGTTAGTGTCGGTAACACAATGTTAGGTGTCTATAGGCGCCAACAATGCGAAATTTGGTACCTCTAGACGTCTATAGTCTCAACACGTGTAGAGGTTGATAATATAAAGTTCAAGCATATAGGTGACGACGATGTTAGGTCCATAACACAGTGTAAGGCATTTATAGAGGTCCATAACGCACATTTAACATTCGTAGACGTTGATAGAGCAGAGTTAACATTCATAGGTGTTCATAAAGCAAACTATAAATGTCCATGATTAATGACTATAAAACAACATTAACGTCGATGTCATAAAATTGGACACCTCTGTACGTCCACATGGTACCTGTGTACCTCTACCCATTCACAGCTGTCGACACAGTTCTCATTTATAAGAAATTATCCATAATTGTTTTGAGTCAGTGCTTACAACAAATATCAGTACCTACGTGTAGTATAAACTACATATCTACAAAACGGACGACTTAATTTCTAGAATCTACGTATGTCCCCGATAGTAAAAACTTTAAATTAGAGGATTCGTTGACGCGTTAATCCGAGGATAGAGCAAGAGTGTGACGGGCGAATACGGTTGTCAGTTTGTTGGCTAGCTTTGTAAGACGAAGACAAAATGGATCATTGAACAAGCAGGGCTACGACTGTTTCAGGAGTGACCATCTTGTTATCGCTGACGGTGTTCCTGAACCTTGTCGCCGAGACTCTGCCTCAGGTCTCCGACGCTATACCTCTGTTAGGTACATTGAGTTTCTGCAAATAGACGTGTGCCAGTGTGAATTTCTATCGTTGAGAATGGAGAATGTTTCCCCTTTCTTTTTTTATTATCTACTCTTTTTATACTGTTCTTCACTACTCTCTCTCTCTCTCTCTTTCTCTTTCTTTCTCTCTCTCTCTATCTCTATCTATCTCTCTAATGCTCGATGGAATTTTTGATAGTTACCTTTTATTGCTTTTCTTGCTTGAGACAATGATTTCACGTTTGGCTTTCATATGAATTGATGCATCTTTCAGTTTTGAAGGGTTAGTAATGGAGATATTTTGATGGAAGTGTTTTTTATTGTTAGTATTTGGTATAATTGTTACATTTTTGGTAATCTTAGCTGGAACAGTGCACTCGATGTTTGGTTTTCATTGAAATGGGAATTAAAGCAATTAACATTCTTTCTGTTAGAGGTTTGTTGTATTTTATGATAAATATATACGTAGATGATACTAACTTTCGTTTGTAAAACAACCAGCAAAATGAAGGATAAACTTTATTTACCCCTGAAGGGGTAAATTGATCATGAGACACTATTAGTACATCACACAAGTCACATTTTTATTGTCATAAAAATCGTTAAATGAACGGTTTTATTGTTATAGAGTTTCTTAAAATCTGTTTAAAATTTTTGAATCATGAACGAAGCTGGTGAAATGTTCAGAAAAATTTGCCAACGGTAAACTTCTGCTCGATGAAGAGATGTTTACTAACAGACTCTCGAAATTCAGTTCAATCACAGACGGAGCGAACAAGGATTCCCTTTCCTCAATTTCAGACGACCTTTCCTTGTCTATAGTTCGAAAACTTCCATGTGGACTTGTCGAGACTTAATTGAATAAGTTCTCGCGATGGTTCGATAGCAGCCAGTGTACCGGAAATCCTCTAAGTAGGACAGGTTCGTACACTTGGCCGAATGTTGTCATCCTTCTATTTTCCCTTTTTATATCACGAATTTCGACAAGACGCTGAACATTTTATTACGATTTTTATTGTGCTACAATAACTGTCATTATGCTATAAATAGTGCTATAGTATTGAACAATATGTTATTAATATTATTAAGTTTGTTATTTTGCTATAGTACGCTATAAATAATTCTTATACTATAATTCTTTTGACAATGGCTAACTGTGAATCGATATTGAGATGTAGGTTATTAATATTATAGTTAGTAGTATTTTGCTATAGTACTATGCTATAAATGAGTATTGCTATACAAATAAATAACTGTAACACTACTGTTGTTCTCATATCAAACATTTCTATCGCATTAAAAACCATTGAACTACAGATTATTAACTTTATTATGTTGGTGAGTAGTACTATAATACTGTGCTATAAAGGGCTATTATGTTATATAAATAAATGACTATATCACTATACTTCAGTCTTTGTACCAAGAATTGTGCTATAAATCAGTATCGAGATATAGATTATTAATGGTATTATATCTCTGACAATAAGTAGTATTATGCTATAAATGACTACTGTTATATAAATAAAGGTCTACAAAACTATACTACTAATAATTACTTTGCTATAAATGTCTTTTTATAAATCACTGTGAGTTATAGATACCTATTGTAATTACAAATAATACTATGCTATATAAAGTAAGACCTTTATTATTAGTGACTATAGCACTCTATCATAAATGGCCATTGCTCTATAATCGTGCTGTAAATTACTATTGAACTATAGACAACTATTATATTTCAAAATGGCACCTTATATACTGTGCTATAAATGACTATAGCACTATACATAAATGATTATTCTGCTATAAGCATCTATTGTGTTATAAAGCATTATTGAACTCTAGATGATTAGTATACTATACATAATCATTATTCTATAATTATTTTTGCTACAAATATTTTACTATAAGCAATTGTTGTGTCATAAATCATTTAGCTAGAAATGACTACTATGTTCATACATATTAAAATTATGGACAAAGTTATGAACAAAATTATATACAGCTATAGTACTATAACAGAAATTCTGCAACATATAATCATTATACTATATAAATATAAATAACTGTAGTATTACTTTATAAATAATTATTTTGCTATACTTTTGTGCTATAAACAAACTATTATTGTACAAAAAACTAAAAATTTCATCTCGGTCACGAGGAGCTCGTATTTCTAACTGGTTCAGATCCACTGTAAAAACTTTTTTAATCTAAATTCGTCGGCGAAAGCGCACTCTTTCGCTATACCTATGGTCGTTTAGTCTTCGATGTTTCAACAGCGATGTTGAAGATGAGTAAAAGTGTGATTTACTTTCGCTTCGTTTCATTTTTGCGTGTAATTACCTTTTCTGTACCTTATTTTTTGTTTAAGTTATATTTTGGATTTTTAATTAAAGTTTATTATATTTTGTTCAGAGGTGTTCGGGATTTGAGTTCAGTCTACTTTGTTCATGTAAGCAGGAACGATTTTGAGACAATGAGCGAGTAAGTAGATCAAAGTTTTCTGAACAATTTTTACAAAAATATTTGGCAAATAAATTGGTTGTGGAATTCATCATATAGTGTAAACATCTGGTTTGTAACATATTAAAAGCTATGATATCTAAAAATTATTTGAGGTAACGAATTTTCTTGTAGTAAGAAATTATCGCTGTATTTATAATTGCTGAATTGTAAAATTTCTGTATTAGAAATTAGATAATTTTGTTGAAATTGAAAGAAATTTATCAGAATTAAAGATTGACAATTTTTGGAAACTAAAAAGTGTAAAATTAAAAAAATTTGTGAAATATAAATTTCCTTCAAATTACAATTTGAAAAATATTAAATTAGAAAGTATCCATTAAATTATATTAATACAAATGTAAAAATTAGGAGATATTAAATTCCTTAAAATTACAGTTTAAGAAATGTACAATTTCTTGAAACGGCAGATCAGAAAATGTCAAATTTCCTAAAATTGCAAATCATAAAATATCACATTTCTTATAATGGCAAGTTAGAGACAATTAAATTAATTAAGTTACAAATTCGAAAGTTTCAAATTGCTTAAAATTGCAAATTAGTAGGTACCAAATTTCATGAAGGCACAAATTAGAAAGTTCAAATTTCCTTAAAATTACAAATCAGAAACATTCCCTAAAATTAGGAAACAGAATATAAAATTACATAAAGCTTCAAATCAGAGAATTCAAAATTCTTGCAACTTCCAAATTAGGAAATAAAACATTCTCTAAAATTACCAAAAACACAAAACAAAATTCATTAAAACTGCAAGTCAGAAAATGCAAAATTCCCCAAACTCACCACTAAAAAAATACACAATTCATAAAAACTACAATATATAAAACACACAAAATAAACAGCAGATATCCAAACATCGTTTTCAAAACCAATTCCCAATCACGTCCAAGCCAAACAAAAAAACACACCGACTTTCTGTTACTTCCCGACCCGATAGTACCTCGTGGCGTTTCAAATGGAACAAAAACGAGACACAAACTTCATCAGAACGCAAACGTGCCGTCCATTGTTCCGAAATCATCCTCTTAAGCATCGCTTTAGACGTTCCCTCGTGCAAAAAGGTGTTACAGCGTTTGCTCTCGAACTCTGAACGGGCAAAAAGGCGAACAAAACATCATCGTTGGGCAAAGTTTGAACATCGATGTATCGGTCGCTGGAACAAGTCCGTCGCAACTGTCTAGAAGGCTCGTTGATCTTCCGCTCGAAAGCTTCGGCTTGTTATTGCATGGAAACTTTGACCGGAAACGCGAGGACCGTTTGAATTTCAACGTCGTTCCCTGTCTTTACTCTTCCTGTCTTTTTTTTATACTTTGTTCGATCCCAGACCTGTTCATTTAGATTGGCGCAGCTTTTATCGACGATCGAAGTAAATTAAAATGCCCCAATCATCGGGTTCGTTCGTTGTCAGAGCCTGTCTTTGTTCCGATAGCTTCCGATTTCGTTCTGTCGAAGAAATCGGCGTTTTCTTCGTCGCGAATGACACTTGCGATATTGGATCGTCCAGGGAAATTAATCGAAATGGAATCGAGACCGTGCGTGACCGTATCTGGTCTCTGAATACAAACGGATAAAAGCAATTCATTTATTTGTAGACAGGATTGGACTTCAACGATTTAACGCGTTTCGTGTCTCGCTAAATTTAAGCTTAGGTTTGATTGGAAATGTTTGGAACAAGGTGCAAAAATTATATTTCGGAGGATTTTTCTGTGATACATTTTTATTGTAGCACGCGGAATTATTAGAATTGTTATGTTATTAATGCTTTGTTATGAATTAGTGTAAATGACTTATAGTGTGGATGACTATTTCAGTGATTATTTCACTATGAATTAGTATTTTGTTATAAATTAATATTTTGACATAAATAAACATTGAACTGTAAATAAATATTGAACTATAAATAAATATCTTGCTGTAAATAACTAATTTACTGTAAATAACTGTTGTATTATAGATTTTGTGCTATAAATCTCTAATGTGTTACAAATAAATATTATTCTATAAATAACTAGTATGCTATAATCGACTATTTGGCAAGAAATAATTAATTCTCTATAAATTGTTATAGTGTTATAAGTGAATATGATATGATAGATAAATATGTAACAATAAATTAATTCATTATAAATTACCATACACAGTGCTATGAATAAATATTATCTATCTAGCAATAAATAATAAATTATCTTTAAACTAATATTGTATTATAAATAACCGTTTTACTATAAATTGTTTCTCTATTTTAAATAACAGCCATGCTATAAATAGCTCTGTATAAATAACTAATGTGCTGTAAATAACTATAATACTGTGAACAAATCTCCATGAACCAGTAGTTTGCTATAAATTATTAATAAATTCTAAGTAACTACTATGATATAAATAACAATGGTGCTATAGATAATTTGTTATAAATAACTATTGTACTATAAATGACTAATACAATGTAAATAAATGTAGTTATAAATGAC